GGTTCCATCCTCATGCAAAATCTTGAGCAAATGAGACGAATAATAAAACAAGTCTTTAACACGATGAATAAAAATCTATAAATCCAAGCAACTGTAATATAGAATCTGAAATATAAGATTTTTGAACTACTGCAAAAATGATTGTAAATCTATACAGGTTTCTTCATGTCAGAACCTTTCAAACCCTTCCCTTCTCTGAGTGCACTGATTGGCACATCACAGTAAGAACAAACATGGATTTGATGCAGCAAATTAAATGTCACAGACTAGAGGAAGGATGGAGGTGGGGAGGGGACGTGAGAAGGGGATACACTGATAGATGATGATCATCTTACAGGTTTAGGAAATCCACTTTGAAAATTTTGCTGGATTTTCAATGAGTCCATTTCCTCTTGAATGACTTGACACAGGTTTCAGAATTTTCATGCAAAAATGCATTATAGTCAATGGGGTGGGGTATGAAGGAAGATGTGTAGGACAAGAAACATTTGAAGGCCTCTTGCTTAGTATGGATGTGAAGGGCAGAGTGACAGCAAGATTCTAAAAGTGAAAGGTGAAGGTTCATGTACATTGTGAAGTACTAGAATATTTGAAGGTAGACTGCACCAATGGGAAATGGATACTGTAATTTCTAGAGCTATGTCACCAAAAATCCTTTTCACAAGGAAAGAAATTGTGCTGCCTGATCAACAGCCACATACCACATGCACCATAACCCTACAGTACAAAGGATAATCGCAAAACTTAAAAGGAAAAAATGGAATTGGCCCGGGAGCAAAGAGACTTTCCTTCTCTTTTACTTTGGAAACTTGTAATTGTTAAGGGAGGGTTCCCTTTGCCGTTTCAGGTGGTACCTACATCTTTTTTAAACAGTCAATAGGAATATCTTTCTCAAGACCTGGAGGCATCTCTTTGAACATCAAAATCATGCACATAAATAAGACACATTTCCTCTTCCCCTTTTCCATGGGAGCTTAGTTCCAAATGATAACTGGCTATTTGCTATAGATATGCAAGTATTATGCCTTTGGATAAAGGCAAACGACAAGCACAATGGCCACCACAATTCAGGTGAATTTAAGATGAGCTACATATGACAAACAGTGCTGGCAATTCTTACAGAAGTGTCAGTTACGTTTGTCTTGTGAACCTGTGTGCAAAGTGTTGCCCCTTCTTGGTTACATAAAAAGGTGAGATTTCTTTTTGTCTGCAATTTCTTTCTTGCAGTCGTGGGCATCACATTCTGGTTTTATAATAGAATACTTATTTCATAATACAACTGTTTTCTTTCTACTTTTGTGGAGTTTTTCTAGGTTGGCAGGATATTTTGTCTTTAATTGCATTTCTGCAACAAGAGTACTTTAAACTCTAAGCAAACACAGGGAGGTACAGTTAACTGGGCAGTAAAGATACCACACTGGACTCCTTGGACACACACCAAGGAAGAAAAAAGAGAACTAGATGGGACCAACAGAAAATAAATACCAAGATGCGGCCTACACCTCATCCATGGGAGTAACCACTATAAACGAAAACTTTCCATGAAAAGGCAGAAATTTTTAAAATGGGCAAGAAAGCAAGACATGTATAGCGATTTGATTATGTATACTATTTATAAGAAACCTACTCTTAAAGGCATAAAAAGGTTGAAAGTATGAAGATCAAAAGTCTATACCATTCAAACACTGCAGAAAAACGTTGGTATGGCAAAACTGATGTTAGGTAATAGATGTCAAGACAGGGCCTCCCTGGTTGCTAGGGGGTTAAACTGCAGCACTATGAAGCTATCTCCAGCTACTGCCGCACCAGTTTGATCCCTGGCCAGGGAGGTGAACCACATGGTACTTTAGACCTCTCCTGTCTCCCTGCTTCTCCCCTCAGCAGTGTATGTCAATGTATCTGCCTGTTCTGCTCCCCACTCTGTCTCTGGTGAATCCTCTCACCCTCTGGGCTTTACTTCAGTTCTTGTATGTATAAATAAATCTTAAAAAAAAAACAAAAATGAAAAAACTGGGTTCAGGGCCCTGCCTGGTGGTGCAGCAGGTTAAAGCACAGCACTAAGAAGCTAAAACCACTTCAGCATGAGTTTGATCCCACTCAGAGGTGATCCACATGGCATGGCAGACCTCTCCTGACCACCCACTGCTCCCTTCTGCAGTGTACTTCTTCTATCTGCCTGTTCTGCTCCCCACTCTGTCTCTGATGAATCATCTCACTGCCCCTGCACCTCTGGCTTATACCCTGGTTCTGTATGCATAAATAAATATTTTTTTAAAAAAGGGGTTAAGGCAAAGAATATAATCAATGATAAAAAATGTTAGTCTATAATTTGGTTAAAGGGTTAGTGTTTCAGGAAGATACTATGAAACCAATGTGTTGGTACATAATGACACAGTGAAAGTTTCAAAATATAGACTGTGAAAGGAGAATTAGCCTGGAAGTAGGCAAAGCCATAATCAGTTGTAGATGTTAACATTCCTCTCAGGCATTAGAGGAAAAACTAGATGAAAAACAATCATCTACAGGATTTGAGCTACACTAAAATAGTGAAATCAAGAAATTTTGGTATGCTAGAGAATTAAAATTTAAACATCAGGTAACAATATAAAATATCTCATTTCTAGGTGACCCTTGAGATTCTGTCATATTCCTTTTGATGCAGTGGCGATTGGACTACCTGTGAAGATTTAACTAAAATCGCTCTCTTGTGCAACTTGGGGTGAGCACTTGGAGGCACAAAAATACACGTGTCTTCGTGAGTCAGGTCCTATAGGAGATCTTGGTAAGGCATTATTAGTGTGAGACTCCAATTTAGGTGAACCTCAGACCTTTTCCCTTGTAAACTATAAGCAACTGAAACAGGACCTGACTCTTTATGGACTTCATCTCTGGTGGGATGTGAAAACAGGTGTATCAGGCCAAGAAGTTTCCTCCAGTGTTGCCCTCTGGGTGGAGAGCACTCATGGGTCCCTAAGGATCAAGTGTGCCACACATTTGGCAAATTGAAATATGGATTCCACCATTTAATTTGAATTTTAGATAAGGAACTTATTACTAGACATAGTTCCCATAAAATCTTTTCATATTTTATCTGTACTTCTAATTACTTTATCTGTACTTCTCCTTTTCTTAGGGAGGGGAAGTATGTTCAGGAGGCTGGCTGAGGCAGAGATGTGTTTTATTTAATCAAATTAATTTATTTATATATTTTTTACATCATTGTTCATTTTTAAACAATGTTTACCCCTCCCCATAGAATTTCCTCCCCCAATTCACCCATGCACCATCACCACAATCCCCGTGCTCCTCCTCCTGATCCCTCTCTCTCCATCTCCCCTGCAGGAAGTCAGCAGAGATAAGTGTTTTTTTTTTTTTTCCCCCATGGGAATCGAACGCGCATTAACACGCTGCGGCTCAGTTGCAGCGCTGTGCTTTAACCCGCTGCGCCACCAGGGAGCGCCTATGTTGAACTATTTATTAAACTGACATTCTTTTTCAAAGTAGGCATACATCCCCACAAGCCGTGAATGAGAGTTCCAGCTTCCTCATAAGAGATATGTGTTTTTAATTAAGTTTTCAAAGTTCAACACACTCCTGCTCAAAGACCGCCTTCTCTCCCTCTGAAAACCGGTTACATTACTTTGTAAAACATGAAGTAATAGGGAGTTAGTTATATGGAAAGGACAGCTCTGAAAGTCATCTTTTTATTTAAATATTTTATGCTACGCATACAAATATAATCTCCCACAGAACACATGTAAAAACAAATCACCCTTTCAAGGACAGAGAAAATCATTAAGAAAATGTGAATATGCTATAGAGAGTCAGGCCAGGTTTTGCAGCCTGGCTGGGAGGAAGCTTCAGGCCAAGTTTTGTTTGTTTAGTATACAGATGTCATATTTACATTTTCACACAAAGTGATATTCCTGTCCCACACTTAATAAAAAATTAGCTACTAAGTCTATAATGAAAACGACTGCAACAATTACTAAGTAGTGAGTAAAACAATTTAGGTCATCGAAAGAGCGATCTTCACCTTGGCCACACTTAACAGTATCCGAAAATATCTGCCTTTTCCCATCCACTGTCAGTGGGAACAAAAAGTATAAAGCTTTGTGCAACAAAATTCAACCACATTTCTAAAAATGTGCTACAGTGAATTTTTAAAGATTCTTTTTTTAAGCAAAATATCATGGAAAATCATGAAAATACAGCCTTTAAAATTTATGAAAATTATTTAGCAGTGCAGCATATTTACATAAATTATTACTCATATACACTTATACATCAAAACTTAAAATGTATTCGTTTTTTTCAAGGAGCAATACAAATACAATCAACGTAGGAGCCAAAATGCCCAGAAGTAACTTTTCAAAAGAAAAAGCAAGGATACAATACAAAATTAGGTCAATTCTAATACTTGATACTTGGGTAGTAAGTCACAAAAACTAGTCATGGCTTTATGACACAGTTAATAAGCTCACAATTTCAAATTCATGGCCAATACAGCCATTACCGAAAATTCATCTAATTTCCCAAATGTTTATTGGCACCCATGCTAGGTGCTGAGGATTTAATAGTGAAATAGCACATTTCTATCACAGAATGATGTCTAATGGGTAATTTAGCTAAACTATTATAAATAGAAGATAATGCACCCTGAATTTTGTTTGTAGTATATTATTCTTAAAAAGCAAAGTGATTTTATATTTATGAATTTTGCCCTGGAATTCGGAACTGATATTGAAGTGTTCAATATTTTCATGACAGCTGAGGAAAAGGGAAGATATAATGCTATTTTTAAGGGCAAACACGCACATGTACACCAAGTGGACACATGTGTGCAAACTCACACAGAAATATGCAATGTGTGTTCTTATCAAGTCTGTGATCCAAACCTCAGTCAACTCAAGACAGATTAAAAAAGGCTCTTAAGGAAACCAATAAAATTGGTAGCCCAGACTTTGGGCTGTACCTTCAGATAAGCGAGTTGTTGGCAATCTGCTAGATGCAGTCAAGTAGAGAATATAGGAAGCAATATTAAAGTGTGCAGAGGTCCGGGCAGCTTCGTGGGTGGTCCTGTCAGTGACCAATGAACTTGATACTCTGCGAATTTGGTAAATTCAGAGGAGTCACCTTCTTTCTGGCTGCTTTTATGAATACTGTATGATTTCAGATGCAGCCTCATCATTATGCCCACTGTAACTCACGGGGCAATCTTAGCACACCCCTAGAAGCTGAGACAGTGAGGTCCTTTGTGCATTATGACCCTGTAAGGCTCAGGAAAAACCAGATCCACTGAAAACATGCATCAGTTGCTGCGAGTTAACCTCTGGCTCAGACTGTGCTGACCGCGCTTAGGAGTAAGATTGCTGGATGGTGCTGTGCTTAGAGACTCTGGTGGACGATGAGGAGACAGAAGAATGAGAGTGGCCAACACTAGGCCCAGCTAGGGCCCCGTTAGGCTGTATTACTCTCTCGGTAACCACAACATTACCTTCACTGGCATAATGCTGATCCACCAAGGTGGATGCTGGGGCGTATACCCGCTCCGTCACAATCAGGCCCTGAGGCTTTCTGGGAGCCAAGATCACTGTGCTTGGCGACAGAGCAGAGCCTGTGGTATAGGTAGTTTCTGTCACTAGAACGTTACCGGAAGCCAAGGGATCAGGAGGGGCTGTTGCTACCTTCTGATCCTGCCTGGAAGACACAGACCTTTCAGTAACTCTTTCCGGAGTTACTATCTCTGCCTTTGCTTCATACCTACCAGAGTTGTAGGTATTGTCTGAGTCAGCTCTGGTTTGCTCATAGTGTGAATGGGAGGCTGCCTTCGTGTCTGTTTCTTGGACAGACTGTTGTTCAATTTCCACATCTGTAACAATTTTTCGACCCAAGCAGACTTCAGCTAGGGTCTTGAATTTAAATCCTAAATCATCTAAGGAGAAGTTATCTACTTCTCCTTCAATCAAACTGCAACAGCTAATGGAACCATGTAGAGAGTTAGTGTCTTCCTGAGAATATACCAGAAGGCAGTCTCTGACCGCATGGAAGTCATCGTCCTCAGTGTAAGCAGCTACTTTCTAAAATGGAAGCAGACACAAGGTTAGTGACACAACTTCACTTCATAAGACTCTTGTTCTATCGCGAACATGGCATTTATAAGGACACATTAGAGAAACACAATATGAGACATCTTACAGAAAGATGGGCCCATGTTCTTAAAAAATACTAAATATGTGAAAAACTAAGAAAGGCAGAGGGACTGCATCAGATTACAGCGACTATAAAGTGTCACAACATGGCCTGGCTGTGCCTGGTGGCGCAATAGATTAAAGCACAGCACTATGAAGCTAGCCACAACCACTGCAACATGAACTTGATGCCCCAACAGGGTGGGGACCCACATGGCGTGGCAGACTCTCCTGACCCGCCCGCTGCTCCCCTCAGCAGTGTACTTTGTCTATCTCCCTGTTCTGCTCCCAACTCTGTCTCTGGTGAATGCTGACATTCTGACTTTGCCCATCCACACATGGGCGCATGGACCTTGTATTTGAGAAGGGCACCCAGCCCATTTCTACTTCCTAGTTGCAGGCATGGGCTTCCTGACTCTGTCCAATCATTTTTCCTACAACTTTTTTTTTTTTTTTTAAAGATTTTTTTTATTTATGCATGTAGGACTTGGGTATAGGCCAGAGGTGCAGGGGTGGTGAGAGGATTCACCAGAGACAGAGTGGGAAGCAGAACAGGCAGACTGATGAAATATACTGCTGAGCAGCAGATGAGACAAGAGAGGTCTGCTGTGCCATGTGGGTCAGCTCCCTGGCCAGAAATCGTTCTTGCGCTGAAGCAGCTGCTGCGAGCTTCACAATGCTGTGCATTAACCTGGTACATGCCACCAGGGAAAGCCAGACCACAATATATACACATATATATGTATGTATGTATGTATGTATGTATGTATGTATGTATGTATGTATGTATGTAT